GTGTGTGTGTGTGTGTGTGTGTGTGTGTGTGTGTGTGTAACCTTCTAGATTCTTGGTGGGAATGTCAACTACTACAACTGATACAGGAGGCAGGGCCTGGCAAAGCTGGCTGGGAAATTCAGAACTTGTCAATTACAAGATCCCAGGACAGCACCAAATAATACTCCGGACCCGCATGTGGGACTTCTCTCAGGGTCCCACAAGATGGGGATGGCATAGAGACAGACACCACAGGGAGCCTGCTGCCATGGCTGCTCACAGTGGCCCACCCTACACTGAGTCCACTTTTGTTTCTGCTTTTATCCTTTCCTCTTGTGTTTGGCCCAAGTTTGCTCTACAGAGCTAGTTCTTCCCTTACCCCTTCATCCCTCACCTTTCAAATAAACTTTTGACACTGATTTTGCTTGTCTGTCCAATTCTTTGTCTGAGGCAAGAAAAATCTGGAATACTTTTAATTGACAAGCCATTTCTTTTTTGCTTTTTTTTTTTTCCAGTACCAAGAATTGAACTCAGAACCTTGAACTTGCGAGGCAGGTGTGGTACCACTGAGCTAAATCCCTGGCCCTTAGTCAGCCAACAACATTTTGCCGTAACCAGCCAGGAGATAACACAACCACTGTGGAAATCAGTAAGGAGATTCCTCTAAAAGCTAAAGCTAGTGCTCGCTTTGGCAGCACATATACTAAAAGCTAAATCTAGAAATTCTATTTGACCCAGCTATTTCCCTTCAGATATTTTTCTGAAAAAGTTAAAGATACTATATTACAGTGATACATGCATACTCATGTTTAAGGCCACACAATTCATAATAGTTAAATCTTAGAAGCAGCAAACAGATGAATGGATAAAGAAAATGTGGTGTTTACACATAGTGGAGTGCTGCTCTGCCATAAAGATAAACTTGAGTCATTTGTAGGAAAATGGATGCAACTAGAGACCGTAATGTTAAGTGAAATAAATCAGACACACAAGCTTAAGTATTGCACAGTTTCTCTTATATGTAATAATGTAAATGTAAATAATCAAAATGTAAATAAAGAACATAATAAAAGATAGAGAATAGGAAATAGAGAGATAGATCTGTTGCAAATGGGAAGGAGACCCATTGATGGGGAGGGGGCTGGGAGTGGAGAGACAGAGATTGAAAAAAGGTCTATTTCTCTCTCTCTCTTTTTTTGGGGGGGGGTTCCGGGGATCGAACTTGGGTCCTTGCGCTTGTGCAGCAGGCAGCGAAACCACTGAGCTAAATCCCTGGCCTGAAAAAAGGAATTAAGATGTGTTACGTACATGTACCTCATGATGAGTGTAAACATTATGTACTGCAAACACAAACTAATAAAAAATAGACTTTAAAAATGCTTACCCTTTGCATATAGTCGCCCGGTGAGTGTGCTGGTTTCACTCACACTTGCATAGATTCTGCAGAAGGTGGGGTCTGTTATTGTTTGCACATTGCCTAGTTTTTCTCCAAGATTGTGCTTGCTGACACATACCCTTTGCATCTGTCATAGCACAGGATGTGCTCTCTTCACGCTTATCATTTGCAAACACTCTGGGGAATCTGTTGCTCTGCTACTGCACACGTATTCCACAGATTCTCCTGAAAATTGTGCGGTGTTAATGTTTACCCTTTGCACTGATTCTACCAAAAGTGGTGCTCTGGTAATGCTCAGACACTGCACAGAATTCAAAGCAGACTGTGCTTTGTTAATGCTTAGCCTTTGCATCATTTTACTGACCAATGTGCTCTGTCATTGTTATCTTTAAAATTAAAAAAAATTTTAAAACACCATTATTCATAGAGTGGCTTTAAGTTCACAGTAGAATTGAGAAAAGGTACATAGATTTCCTACATACCTCCTGCCCCACACATGGATGATTGTCCTTGAGTAGTAGCATCCCTATCTGGGGTGGTATATTTATCCCGTTGGTGAATCCACATTGACACATAATCATAGCTCTGGTTAGGGTTCCTTCTTCATGTTGAACAGTTGTGGGGTTTGGATACATTTATAATGACAGGTACCCATCATAGTGGTATACAGAGTGTTTTCATACTGGTAAAAATCCTCTATATTATACCTTCTCCCCTTCCCTTACCCCTGGCAATCTGATCTTGGTATGACTGCATAGTTTACCTTTTCCAGAATATCAAGTCATTAGAATCATACAGTAGGAGCCTCTTCAAATTGGGGTTTTTTTTTCATTTACTAATCCTGACTTAAGGTCTCTCCGTGGCTTTTCTCCATAGCTCATGTCCTTTTAGCTCTGATATTCCATTCTCTGTATGTATAACAGGTTATCTATTCACTTACAGAGGAACATTTGGTTGCTTCTGAGTTTTAGCAATTATAAATAAAGCTGCAGTAAATATCTGAATACAGGGTTTTGTGTGGATGTAAGTTTCAATTTCTTTGGGTAAATATTAAATAGCATAAATGCTTGGTTGTATGGTAAGAATTTGGTTCATTTTGTGGGAAACACCAAACCCGTTTGCACAGTGGTAGTTGCATTTTGCAGTCATACCAGCTGTGAAGGTGTTATAGGGCAATAGATGTAACTCGCAAACCTGCTAGAATCTGAAACCCAAGTTTGAGTTCTCTAAAATTGCAGGATGAATTCTAGGAACAATGGAGGTTAAGAGTAGGAAAAATTTATTGAGAGAAAGATAGCTTCTGTTGCAGGAGACCACAATATTGACTATGCCCAAGCAGGCTCTGAGCAGTCCAGGCTGTGAGGAGCTAATCCTACAGCTGGCTTCTTTATAGAAGTGCATCCTGCCGAAGCCTATGTGCCGAGGTCAGGGTAACTCGCACCCAGATTTCGTTCACACAACTAAAACCTCCTGACTAGAAGGACAGTGTGCTAATTACAACCACATATTTTGTCCATTCTGTTCCTAAATCGAGAATGGTTTGTCTTGTCCTTCACGAGCCTTATTTACATTAATTTCCATAGAAACTGCAAAATTGCATATCCGTTGCATGTATCCTCACATGTAGTTCTGCCCTTGCACGTAGCTCACCTTTACCCCAACTGATTACCAATAAAAATCAGTGGTTTGAACTGGCCAGCGCCTTTGTCAGTTGTACCAGCATTAGTTGTCCTGGCATCCCACTTTCTGTCTTACTTCTGTCTTTTAGTTTTTTTCCCTCAGGTGTAGAGGTTTCCAGTAATGTTTCAGGGGTCCCTGGTACTTCTGAACTAGAAGGATAATGTTCTAATTATAACCATATAATTTGTCTATTCTGTTCCTAATTTTAGAATGTTTTGTCTTTTCCTTTTACAAGTCTTGTCTCCATTACTTTCCCTAGAAATTGCATGATTGCTGACCCTGCTTCTCAAAGGTGTTTTATGGGACAAACCCATGAGGTGAGGCAGGTTCAAGGTGGGACAAAACTACAGTCCACTAGTAAGATTGCAAGTACAGTCCCTTAGGTAATATTGATCAAACGAGGAATCACAAGGCAGACAAAACTATGATTCAACAATAAGATTATGAGAAGTACAGTCACTTAGGTAATATTGATTAAATGGGGATCCAATGGGAAAGCAAGTCACATAGCAAGCTGACAAGGATTTTCAGTCAGGAATCTTTCCTGGAAGGGGTGGGTAAGGTCTTGGTCTCCTACCCAGGTGATTAATACCTATTTAGAATATCCATCACTGCTATTCATCCTTAGGGGAAGCACAGTGCTGGCCTTCAGTGAATGTATCTTGGTCGATTGTCCTTCATGTTGGTTCCTTGCATGCTGGTCCTAACTGTCTACAAGATATCTAATTAACTTATCTACCTACAATAGTGGGTTGGGAGTTATAGTATTTCCCTCATTTGGATTATTTTGCTTATTTGGATTACTCGGTGCCTTATATCCAGACATTTGCCATTTTTTGGAACATTTACAGCACATAATGTTGCCGTTCCTTGCGGGGAGTCGGTGCACATACACATCACACCTTCATTCCTCTTTTCACCTCCTATCCCTCTTTTCTCTCCCATCCCTGCATCTCTCCATCTCCTCCTTTCAGAAAGATCTGCTCCCTACTTCCTATCATCTATCTTTCTGTAGTTATTTTATTTTATTTAAAAATTAATTTTATCGGTACATTTTAGGTATACAATATAATGACATTTATCATCTATCTTTTATTTTGCTCTTTATTTATACTTTGGGTTTCTCATATTAGAGAAGCCAGGTGATATTTAAACTTGTATGTCTGATTTATTTCACTTAACCTTAAGGTCTGAAGCTGCCATTGTTACATTTTACATCGTTTTTTCCTTTGTAAATATTCTACCAAATGTAGGGACAGAGGGTCACAGGCAAGAAGAAAGATAAAAAAAAAAAGACTGACTGGGCTCAATGAAGAAACAGGAGAGAGTGCAGATGACATAAAAAAATCTCTTCACAGAAATAATGGCAGAAAACTTCCCAAGC